TTTCTCTTTGTTAGTCACTCACACGCACACTCTCGCACTCACACGCACACTCTCGCACTCACACGCACACTCTCGCACTCACACTCTCGCACTCACACGCACACTCTCACACACTCTCGCACTCACACGCACACTCTCGCACTCACACGCACACTCTCGCACTCACACTCTCGCACTCACACGCACACTCTCACACACTCTCGCACTCACACGCACACTCTCGCACTCACACGCACACTCTCGCACTCACACTCTCGCACTCACACGCACACTCTCACACACTCTCGCACTCACACACACACTCTCGCACTCACACACACACTCTTGCACTCACACGCACTCTCGCACACGCACACACACTCTTGCACTCACACACACAGACACACTCTCTCACACACACAATATAAACATAAGCTCCTGTAACTTTCTATATAACAATTCCTGTAATCATGTAAAGGTTTGACTTTTCAAAAATGTCCTCACTAACAGTGATACCTGTTGAGCACAGACTGAGTCACTAGGGCATAAATCATGTTTCTATTTAAATCTTGGGTTTTGCACAGGTTTCTCTGAGAGCTGGTTTAGGGGTCAGAGGTCAGGTTAGGACATAGAAAATAACATTAACCGCATAGAAAAACAGTGAAAGCTTATAAGATGCACTCACTAGTGTGTGACCAGTAGCTGGACGCCGGTCGGACAGGCGCACTGGTAATAAGGTTTGACCGGAGACAGCAGACACAGATGGGAACATCCTCCGTTCTTCAGCGCGCAGGGACTCGTCACCTCTGTCACACACACACACACACACACACACGTCAGACCAGGAAAACAGCATGAGAGCATGAAGACGTGTCAGCGAGCAGCTGTGATGCATGAACGTCCAACAGAATCGATTCACAGATAAAGGTTTTTCGCTGATCAAACCCTCTAAAACTCTCACACATTCATTTGCACACTGTCACACTCACTCACAAAGATTATTCAAAATAAATGTTAATATTTTTATTATTTTTAATCATAAAATTATTTTAAATTTTATTTTAAAACATAAAATCATCATTAAAAAATAATCACATATTAAAACAAAAATCTAAATTATAAAAAAAAAAAAAAAAAAAAAAAAAGAGCGGAGGAAGACTGAGAGAAAGCTCTGCAGCGAGAGACGGAGGGCGTAACGCAGGATTCTGTCAGCGCTGTGAGAAATTCTCTGCGTTCAATCAGCACTGAGGACAGAACAGACGCTCCATTGTGTGCGAGAGGCTGAACCAGGAGTCGTGTGTCATAATCATTTCTGCAGAGGCTCGTAGCCAGCAGCCCGTCTGTGCATCGCTTCAGGAAACTCCTCCAGGAGCACCATGGGAAGGAGAGAACACACACACTCACACACACACTCACACACACACTCACTCGCACACGCACTCGCACACACATTTACACGCACACTCATTCACTCACACACGCACACACTCACTCACGCACACACACACATTCACACTCACAAACACACACTTACATGCACACTCACTCACGCACACACAATCGCACACACACACACTCACTCACGCGCACACTCACGCGCACACTCACACTGGCACGCACAACTCTCTTACCCAGCGGCTGCCGCTTCTGGCTGTAGACGTGTATGTCCATGGGTGAGAAGATGTTGGTGTGGATCTCGTGGCTGTTCTCTCCCGTGTGTTTGAGGCAGGCGTGGATGGAGTGTGTGTTCCAGTCCGTCCAGAAGAGCGTGTCCTCGTACAGCGTCAGCGCGAACGGGTGCGGCAGAGAGCCCTTCACCACCACCTCCCTGAGAACACACACACACACACACACACACGTGAGCTGATGGACACGCGCCGCATGCAGGCTAGGGGTGTGCGATATATATCGTCTGCGATAATATCGTAAATTCATAATTGTTATTTTAACAATGTGCAATTTGACTTTATCGAGTAATTTGCAAAAACCAAACAAAACACCCCTACAGAGCACACGCATACATTAGAGTTTTATTAATTATATTATTTATTATTTTATTTATTAATTAAAACTGTATTATTAATTTTTTCATTCACAATCTCCTCACCACAGGCAGACACGTGTGTCATGTTCGTGTTTGTGTGTGCTGTCTGCGTCACTCATAGCACGTGCCTATATCGAACATTTGTTCTATCGTTATCGATGGAGTACCGTCGATAAATATTGATACCATTTTATCGCCCAGGCCTACGTTTTATGTTTAAAATATCAAAACAATATCAATGCATTTGTAACTGCAAGTTAAAGCATTCATGTCCTGCACTAAACAGTGTGTAAACACATCTAAATGCCTCTTCAGACGCAGCTTCTGTGTTTCCTCTGCATTGCAAAGATTAATTTTGTTGATACGGATTTCATTTGCTTGGTAATTAACAGTCCAAAAATGTCTTATTATTCTAATTGACTGATTAAAAGTAAGAATTTGACTCAAAAAATGATGCACACTTATAGAAAAAATGACTTTATAAAGGTAAAAATGCTTATAAAATAATTTGATGGCGTTACCTGCCCGATCCGTCCAGGTTGCAGCGGTGGATGAAGCTGAACTTGGCGTCGGCCCAGTAGAGTTTCTGCAGGTCGTAGTCGAGCGTCAGGCCGTTGGGCCAGTAGATCTCAGAGTCGATGACGACCGAGCGATGCGTCCCGTCCATCCCAGCGCGCTCGATCTTCGGGACCTCACCCCAATCCGTCCAATACATGTACCTGAACAAACATTAAAGTCAGACGAGGAGCCACATTAAACACATTCACAACATCTCACAGCCGGATCACTAACAGGGTTTGTTCACACACACCTTCTGCCACCACGAGTTTTCAAACTCAAAATGATGGTCTGTAACATGAGGAGAAACACAAACAGATAAAACATCAGTGAAGCTGCATGAACAGCATGTGAACCACAACCACGGACTACCTTTGACCTTTGGCAGAGCGGATGAGGAGTCAGGGAGGTCGACGGGAGCCGGGACTCGTGTTTCAGTCGCTCCTCACACTGACGGTTATATTTAGAACTACTGCACTTATAAACAAGACGTTCCGCTAACCAACCCGGTTAACCCGGTTAAATCTACCAGCTTCACATCACGTTACATGACTGCACTCACAATCAAAACACACCAGTGTGTGAGTGTGTGTGTGAGAGTGTGTGTGTGAGTGTGTGTGTGTGTGAGTGTGAGTGTGTGTGTGTGTGACTCATCTGCGCGCACACACACACACACTCACTCTGGTGTGAAGCAGGAATGTGTGATCTGTCGTTTGTACAGCTGCAGCTCCAACACCATCAGCATGTGATGATGATGCGTTTCCTGTGCGTGAGACAGCAAAAACCAAAGAAGACCTTTCATACAGTAGCCTAGAACGAAGATTTACAAATAAGAGAACGATAAGCGGTGATGACATCACACTGCTGTGAAGGACCGCCCACTCGCCTGTCAATCATCCACCGCACAGAGTCTGAGAAACGAGCAGAATCAGCCGCGCAGAGACGCATGAACACGTGTTACATCCGTGATTTCAGAGGCGCGTCACGCTAAAGACGGACACTGAATCTGCTGTGGAAGCAGCGGCCTTTAATTTAGAGATCAGTTCATTTCAGTATACACCGAACACAACATAACAGCCGCTCTGTAGAATCTCAATGACCTTCCTGTTGATTTGACATCAGAGCCGCGCCGAGATCAGAGTCTCTTTCACACGTCACACATGAAGAGAACGGCTCGGCTTCAATTCTAATCCGCTCATGAATAGACGGGCTGCTGGACTGACATGCACACGAAGTGACGTCACGCTAAAGCGCTGATATAAACAACCAATAAAACTGAGCTGGAAGTAAGACATTACACATGAAATACAAATGCAGGCGATTCAGAACAAATATTTGATATTTACGCAGACAATCATGATTCACAAGAGCTAAATCAGATGTTATGATGGTAATTTCATAATGAGCTAAAAATCACAATATGACAATAAGACCATAAATATTAGTAGTGTAATCTTACAGTTAATAATAATAAAATTAGTATTACATTATTTTTCTAAAATATTTAAACAAATACTTATTAAATAATAATAATTATTATTATTACTGTAAAATGAAATTAGTATTACTACATTATTTTTCTAAAATATTTTTTTATTTTACAGTAAAATTTTAACAGAAACATTTTTTGTTTTTAACTAGAAATAAATTATTATATTATTATTATAAAATTAATTTAGTATTATTACATTATTTTTGTAAAATAGTAGGCTAGTTTTTTTGTTTTATTTTACAGGGAAATATTTTTGTTTTTTATTTAGTAACATTTATTTAGAAAAAAATTATAATTTGAATAATTTTTATAACCGTATTGATATATAATCACAAAATCAGGCCACATTGTGTAGCCCTACAAACAAACATTTTTCAAATGCATTTTAAATCACAAAAACAATTTCCCAGACTTTCTCCTCAGCAGCAGCAGCAGCAGCAGCAGCGTGCTCAGACCAGAACAACAGCAGCTGTGTTGGTCAAACTGGAGGCCGGATTACCCATCAGCCCTCGCTCGGGTTACGCACACTCACCTGCTGAAGGTAACACTAGACCCTCGTGAAAACCTCTACAGCTGCCGTCTGCAGCAAAAGACCGATTCCATTCATGCTGGAGACAAAGAGCTAGCTAAACCGTGCACAGAAACACAATCAGAGAAAATATACACCGACTCCATCACTGACAAAAACCAGGAGAAAATAAAAGCCTACTGCTCCCTTCAGAACGTTTATGACGGACAATATGATGAAAGATAACGATGACACGAGTGAGAATCTGTCGAACAGAGCGGAGCGAGAGGAAATCTGAAGGAATGGGTTTGTCTGCATCTCACACAAACACAGCTCTGAGCCGCATTCAAACCGGACCCGAGACGCGTTTGTTTTTCTCAATCAAGCTGAACGAACACGAGCTGTTCAACATAAACATCAGAAAACAAGACGCAACACGCCGCGGTTAACACTGGGCCGAATACCGAACAGTTTTTTTTTTTTTCAAAAGTATTTTGCCAATTTGTTTTCACCATCGCACAAATTAAATAGCCAAAATGTGCTTTTTACAGTTTTGTCTTGCTTTTCAAAGAAAAAATCTATTTCAAAACAACAATTTAAAAATATTTAACACTGAACATTTTTAAACATTGAATAATCCATTCTTGGGATTTAAGAATTGATATCGTTCCGCAAAAATGAGAATCGATTATAATCGAGATATCGATATTTTTTACCCAGCCTGTGTTCGGTACAGTTTATTCGGTCTTTTCGCTTACTCGGCCGAACACACTATTTTTGCTATTTTCGGCGGAATAATTTCGGTTACCGAACGTTCGGTGCATCCCTAGTGTTCGGTGAAGTGTGTGTGTCATTTGCTTAATCGCAACATATAATCATTGCAGTTAATAGTGTTCACCATCCGTTTCATTGCGTGTAATATGTAACAAACCGCATGATTCTTACTGTACACTCCTGACACAGTCACCTCTAATAACCTACTCCTAAATATAATGTAGAAACTTAACATTTTCTGTAAAGCTACATTGCAACGATTTGTATCGTTAAAAGCGCTATACAAATAAACTTGAATTTGAGTTATAGAAATTATGCATTGATTTAAAAAAAAAAAAAAACTGCACTGTTCTGTATCGGATCGGTTCTGAAAACACGGTATGGTTGCATCCCTGTGATCTCACGGACTCACCCTCGGGCCGGATCCAGAGCGATGGCTCTCGGCTGGTCCAGATCCTGCCAGAACAACACTTTCCGGTGCGTCCCGTCCAGCTCGGCCACTTCTATCCGATTGGTCTCGGAGTCGGTCCAGTAGAGCTTATTCCCCATCCAGTCACAGGCCAGGCCGTCCGGAGAGGCCAGACTGGACACGACTGTGTTCTGGAGCCCGCCGGGCCCTGACCCGTTAAACAGCGTCCGCTTGATGGCCTCCTCGCTCACGTCGCTCCAGTAAATCAGTCCCTGCTCGTAAACGTAATCCACCGCCGCTGCGTCCTCCAAACCGCCGATCACCACCGTGGCGTTCCCTCGACCGTGAGCCGCGTCCACCAACCGCAAGTCCCTCCGGTTCGCATACAAGAGGAGCGGCAGGCCTGCGGGAGACAGAGACGACACGCAGAGGTCAGAGGTCACGCCTAAACAAACGAGGCTTCATGATTCTGAACGATCACTGCACTAGCAACGCCAGAGTCATGCTGTGATTCTCAGACGACATGTCAGGCTTTCTGCAGGTTTCACGAAGCTCAATTTAAGAACATTTAAGCACCGGATTGAAGGGAACACAACATGTTAGCATGTCCCGCCACGCGGATACGCTGTTTCAGTTCAGATCAAATCACAACAACATAAGAAACAGATCCGGCGTGACGCAGCTAACACAGAACAGCATACGCTGTTTACAGGGTGATGCGGAGGAGACGAATTGTTGAATAAAGTCGTTTTTCTTTTCTTTTGTGCACAAAAAGTGTTCTCGTAGCTTCGTATAATTGCGGATGAACCCCTGATGTCACATGGATTATTTTACAGATCTCCTTGCTACGTTTCTGGACTTGGGAACATTTCAGTTGCCTTGCTGTCTATGCAGGATCAGACAGCTCTCTGATTTCATCAAAAATATCTTAATTTGTGTTCTGAAGATGAACGGAGGTCTTACGGGTTTGAAACGACATGAGGGCAAGTAATTAATGACAGAATTTTCATTTTTGGGTGAAGTAACCCTTTAAGTGTACTTTTCACGTGCAAACACCTACTGAACTATTGCACTAAAACTAAAAAGAACCAAATCTCTTCAGTAACGAAAGACTCCAGACACGAGCACGACTTCAACCAGTGATCACGTCACCGACTGTACAGACTCATCCTGCAGGAGCTCACTGCTGCTAGCTTTGCATTTATGTCCATAAAAATGTAGCTTATGAAAAATAAAAACTAGTGTGTGTGTGTGTGAGAGAGAGAGTGTGTGTGTGTGTGCGTGTGTGTGCGTGAGAGAGAGAGTGTGTGTGTGCGTGAGAGAGAGAGTGTGTGTGTGTGAGAGAGTGAGAGTGTGTGTGTGTGTGTGTGTGTGTGTGAGTATAGTGTGTGTGTCTCTGCAGGGATCTGGCACCGAATCAAACCTCAATTTGACACTTCCACCACAAACACCGGCACACACTGTGATGGAGGGCGACCTCAACCTTCTCGCCTCCAGCCACAGCCTGTTTTTCTAACATGGGGAATTTCCTTTTCCAAATATTTGGAAACTTGCCACACACACACACACACACACACACACACACCTGAACAGCTGTTAAACACAATACTGTTTACAAACCCCCACATAATGGCTAAAAGTGATTCTCCAGAGCAGAAAGCCTCAAACACAGGACTGAATCAAACACAAAGCCCAGAAAGCGTCTCCACACACGGATCAGCAGCAGCGCGATCAGACGCACGCAGGCCACAGAAACGCGCAGGAAACCGTCGAGGGTTTCGGGACAAAAGCGCATGAAAACGAGCGAGTTTGAGGAGAGCAGATTCGCAGGACTCGAGAGAAACAAAACAAGCTCGTTACACATCAGCAAACACACAGACGGACGCGTTTCTCCAACAATACAGCACTGACTGAAACGACGCGCGGAGAGCTCACGCGTTCGACGCGATTCCTCGCAGATCGAGCTGCAAATCAAACTCACCCCGAATCTGCAAACACAAAGTGCACAGTAAGAGACTGTGTAGTACGGCACCCATCTTCAACGCTCAGCCGCGCCGCCTCGCTCGCATCGCTCCGGCTGCGTGCGTCTGTGATCCGGATTCCTCGCGCTGAATCTCCGCCGCAGTTTCTCATCGGTTTGATTGTGTCGGTGCTTCAGTGTGACCGCGACATCGCGCAGTCCGTGCGTCCGTCTCCTTCCGCTCACAGGAGAAACTCCCGGCCGCTTCCGAACCCTTCCCCCTTCCCCTCTCTAGCTCCAGCTCCGCGGCGCGGCGCGCTATTGTTGTATTTCATCGCACTCGCGTCTCTCTTTCTCTGTGTGAGATCACAGCGCGGCAAAGACGCAGAACCAACCGGTTAATGCGGGGAAAGAGGCGTCGCGAGCGTTGTGGGCGCGCGGATAAAGGCAGGGAAGCGCATTCTGATGGGACTAGTTTTTCACGAACCGTGCTGCGGCCCGAAACACAAAACAACACAAAGCGCCACGAACCCGAATTATATTTCATTCATTATTACTCGCGTACCGTCTCTCGTTTGTTCTCCATCATCTCTGAACACTGCAGACACGTGTCATGGGAGTTTTTCAGACTCTCTCTCACAGCCAGGAGATTAATTGTTGTAATTTGTGTTTGCAGTGATATTATATTACACTGTGTAGCCTATAATGTGTGTGTGTATCTGTTGCTACTGCAATGTAAAGGTGTTGTTGTTGTTGTTTTACCATGGCAATAAAAATCGATGTTCAGTGAAGCTACAAGAGCATTATAAATCTGAAATATGAATCATGCAGTGATATATGAGTGAGTGTGATACAGATGTGACACAGCGCCCTCTCGCGTCCAAACACAGCCCTGCAGCGGATCATATATTATTACAATCTAAAACAGCTGTTTTCTATGTGAATCTCTGTTAAAGTGTCATTTATTTCTGTGATGTGCAGCTGTATTTTCAGCATCATTACTGCAGTCTTCAGTGTCACATGATCTTCAGAAATCATTCTAATATGCTGATTTGCTGCTGAGAAACATGTCTGATTATTAGCAATGTTGAAAACATTAATATTTTTTGTCGAAACTGTGATACACTTTATTTTTCAGGATGAACAGAAAGTTGTTTGCACTACAAGTGTTTTAAAGCTTTTGAAACGGTTTTACTGTTGCTTCTGTATTTGCATAACTCATAAAAATGAATAACCAACACTTCATAAATACCCTCAGCTCTCTTCATTTAAGCTTTTTTCTTTAAATCAGAATGTAATAATAAATCTTTTAAATATTACAAAAGACTCCTTTTTATTTCTTGCAAGAGAAACAATCACATTAATCTCGAGGTGTCTGTAAAAGACAAGGCTCACCAAAAATAACAGCAGATTAGAAACCAGCGAAGCAGACAAGCAGATCTCTGAATCTCATGCTGTTCAGTGATCATCCAAACACAGTGAACCACAAACACCTCGTTCAGTCACACGCCAGCAGTCAGATAACAGACAAACGCATGAGCGCCGCATCCACTAGTGAAGAAACAGAGGAACAGAAGTTTCCCCGCAAAACAAACCCAAAGAAAGTCTGACAGAAGTGATGCTGCTCGCCATCCCTCGAGGGCCCCTGAGTTCAGTGTATTGCTTTTGATTTCTCTCTATTCACAGATGAAGCGTCCACAGCGTTCAGTGTCTACACCAAACAGCCGAAATATTAAAACACACAGCTTTTCTCCCAGAGAGCGAGCGGGAAACACACTTCTGCGCTGGTGTTTAAAGCTCGTAGTGCAGCTCGCTGAGCTCCAGTCTGGTGTAGTGGCGTCTGTCGAACGACTCCATGGCTTTACGGGCCGCCAGAGAGAGGATGAGAGCGAGGAAGACGAGTGTGATCACCACGATGGCCAGCAGGCTGTTCTTCCACATCACCCGAGACACCTTGGGCTTGGGGCCGCTCTCCAGCTCAAGCAGCGCTGCTGTGGTCGTGGTTGTTGTGGTGGATGGTGCGCTGCTGGTCGGGGGGGCTGTAGGGACTCTGGTGGGCTTCACGGAGTGCGTCTCGGGTCTCGAGGGTTTGCTGGGTCTCTTGGGTCGGTTGGGTTTGACGGGCGTCCGTGGAGGAGGATGCGGCGCTTTAGTGCTGGTGCTTTTAGTGGTGCTGGTGCTGGTGGGCTGTGTGGTGCTGGTTGCCGTGGTAGCGGGTGCGGTCGTCATAGCGACGGTTTCCAGCATCATGGGTGATTCTGACTCAGTGGGTTCAGTGCTGCTGCTGCTGGAGGATGTGGCTGTTGTTGGTGCTGGTTTCGTACTCGTAGTTGTACTCGTAGTTGTAGTTGTAGTTGTGGGTTTGGCTGTTACTCTTCCTTTAGTAGTCGGATGAGTTATACCTGAAAAGATCAAATCGATTGCAGAAACCGACCAGTGTTAGAGTTGGGCTTTTAGTATCATTGAGATGCCACTGTAGTTTATATTAATATTCTGAATTAGTTTTTATATTACTCATTTTCGTTCAAGTTTCACTAATTCAGTTGTGTGTTTTTGCCATTTTATTAGCTTTTGGTTGCTTTTAAATACGTTTGAATCATTTTTACTTCCGTCTTAGTTTATTTTAGTACATCGAGTTAAACTGAAGGAAAATGAGACATGTTGATAGAATCAAATTAAGTTTATTATTATTATTTTTTTCATAGCTTTAGTTTTAGTTAACTATAATAACCCTGAAACCAGCTTCTGCCTTGATCATTATAATTAAATACTAATCACATACATACAGACATTTTTTTCTTCATAATATCTTGATAAATATATGTTTGTGACCCTGCAGCACAAAAGCAGTGTTAAGTCGCTGGGGTATATTTGTAGCAATAGCCAACAATACATTGTTTTTTATTTCTTGCAAGAGAAACAATCACATTAATCTCGAGGTGTCTGTAAAAGACAAGGCTCACCAAAAATAACAGCAGATTAGAAACCAGCGAAGCAGACAAGCAGATCTCTGAATCTCATGCTGTTCAGTGATCATCCAAACACAGTGAACCACAAACACCTCGTTCAGTCACACGCCAGCAGTCAGATAACAGACAAACGCATGAGCGCCGCATCCACTAGTGAAGAAACAGAGGAACAGAAGTTTCCCCGCAAAACAAACCCAAAGAAAGTCTGACAGAAGTGATGCTGCTCGCCATCCCTCGAGGGCCCCTGAGTTCAGTGTATTGCTTTTGATTTCTCTCTATTCACAGATGAAGCGTCCACAGCGTTCAGTGTCTACACCAAACAGCCGAAATATTAAAACACACAGCTTTTCTCCCAGAGAGCGAGCGGGAAACACACTTCTGCGCTGGTGTTTAAAGCTCGTAGTGCAGCTCGCTGAGCTCCAGTCTGGTGTAGTGGCGTCTGTCGAACGACTCCATGGCTTTACGGGCCGCCAGAGAGAGGATGAGAGCGAGGAAGACGAGTGTGATCACCACGATGGCCAGCAGGCTGTTCTTCCACATCACCCGAGACACCTTGGGCTTGGGGCCGCTCTCCAGCTCAAGCAGCGCTGCTGTGGTCGTGGTTGTTGTGGTGGATGGTGCGCTGCTGGTCGGGGGGGCTGTAGGGACTCTGGTGGGCTTCACGGAGTGCGTCTCGGGTCTCGAGGGTTTGCTGGGTCTCTTGGGTCGGTTGGGTTTGACGGGCGTCCGTGGAGGAGGATGCGGCGCTTTAGTGCTGGTGCTTTTAGTGGTGCTGGTTGCCGTGGTAGCGGGTGCGGTCGTCATAGCGACGGTTTCCAGCATCTTGGGTGATTCTGACTCAGTGGGTTCAGTGCTGCTGCTGCTGGAGGATGTGGCTGTTGTTGGTGCTGGTTTCGTACTCGTAGTTGTACTCGTAGTTGTAGTTGTAGTTGTGGGTTTGGCTGTTACTCTTCCTTTAGTAGTCGGATGAGTTATACCTGAAAAGATCAAATCGATTGCAGAAACCGACCAGTGTTAGAGTTGGGCTTTTAGTATCATTGAGATGCCACTGTAGTTTATATTAATATTCTGAATTAGTTTTTATATTACTCATTTTCGTTCAAGTTTCACTAATTCAGTTGTGTGTTTTTGCCATTTTATTAGCTTTTGGTTGCTTTTAAATACGTTTGAATCATTTTTACTTCCGTCTTAGTTTATTTTAGTACATCGAGTTAAACTGAAGGAAAATGAGAGATGTTGATAGAATCAAATTAAGTTTATTATTATTATTTTTTTCATAGCTTTAGTTTTAGTTAACTATAATAACCCTGAAACCAGCTTCTGCCTTGATCATTATAATTAAATACTAATCACATACATACAGACATTTTTTTCTTCATAATATCTTGATAAATATATGTTTGTGACCCTGCAGCACAAAAGCAGTGTTAAGTCGCTGGGGTATATTTGTAGCAATAGCCAACAATACATTGTATGGGTCAAAGTTATCCATTTTTCTTTTATGCCCAAAATCATTAGGATATTAAGTAAAGATCATGTTCCATGAAGATATTTTGTAAATGTCCTACCGTAAATATATCAAAACTTAATTTTTGATTAGTAATATGCATAGCTAAGAACTTCATTTGGACAACTTTAAAGATGATTTTCTCAATATTTAGATTTTTTTGCACCCTCAGATTCCAGATTTTCAAATATTGTCCTATCCTAACAAACCATACATCAATGGAAAGATTATGTATTCATCTCCCTAACCCTTCTGACTGGTTTTGTGCTGCAGGGTCACCAGCTGCAGTGTGGTGACTTCATTCCCCATAATCCTTTGCACAGACTCATCAGCACTCACTGTTTTGAATCAGAAGAGCTGTGGCTGCTGATGTGACTGTGGCTCTGCTCACCCTTGAATATGTTGTAGGTGTTGACTCCGGCGCTGGCTGTCATCAGCGGACACGCTCTCTCGCTCGGGCAGTGGAAGAGCTGGCAGTTCAGATGTCCAGGTTCATACACCACCAGATTACACTTCAGCCCTGTGAGAACATCACAGCTCGTCAGCAGAGCGCCGCATGAACAGCACTCATGCAGTGTGTTTGTGTCACACCTGAACCGACGTCCTCCGAGCAGCAGGTTAAGATGCAGTCTTTCTCTGACGGCTTGGCTCGGGCCACCATGACCGTTCCCTTCTGATCCAGAGCCACACGCGTGTTTACAGCGGCGTCCCGATGCTGCCGAGAGTAGCACATCTCTCTGTCGGGGTCCGGGGTCCCGCCGCAGACGTGCAGGACACACAGCAGCAGAACACAGCTGAGGAACATGACGTGATGCTTGAGGAACACCGAGCAGAAGAGACAGACCTGCACACAGCAAACCAGTCCACAATCATGTTATCTATTCAAGACCGTTCATTCACAACAGGCCCAACGATCACATCTCTCATACGATACGTGACTTCTTCTGGATTCACAGACTTGTTCTGAACGCTCGGAAGCAGAGCTCATGAGCGAGTGATGAATGCAGCATGATGGAGAAACTGCATGCATTTGTAATGTGCTGTGATGCTGTGATGCTGATGTGGTGCTGATGCTGCGCTGGTCGCCATGGAGACTGAGCATCACTGGAAGAGTGTCCGGTGTGTGTGGGCCATCATCGTGATGCAATCCTAATGAAACACAGAACACCTAAAAACCAGCCCAGATATCTATTACTAAAGCCACGTTAGCTGCTTTAAAGAGTGAGCGTCACGTTCAGGAACTGAATTACTGGTTTAATCATCGACACGATCAACAAAAGACAGTGAGCGAGTCACACAATGTCCCGTTTTCCGCGTCGACTAAACCCAGAAACCAGAAACCACACGGAGAGAAAAAGACTCGATTCACGAACACAAACACATTCAGACGCAACACAGATGGAGATCAAACACCTACCCTGAGATCAGCCGCTGCTGTGACCCATTTCTGCGTCTTTGTCCTCCGCTGGATGATGACGATGCTGTCTCTCGCTCACACACACACACACACACACACACACACACACACACACACACACACATACACTCACTCACTCACACACACACACA